ATTGCTGGTAGGAACAAGATGCAGACTTGTTTTGTCTTTTCATTATTTTATCACTTCATCTTCCTCCTCCTATTCATGCACTTCGGCTCTAATTTGCTGGTGTTTCATGGTTTGCTCTTGTAAGGTGGCACATGGTTAGTTTTCTTTACAGAGAAGCTGACATGGTATGCAGTTGTTCTGGAAGATATAAAGGGACCATTTCATCAATAAGAAATATGATCTTGCAAACCTGAGAGAGGTAGAATGGCATTCTAAGAGCCCCTTGGGAGTTCATGGCTTCATAGGGGTGGATATTTTGTACTTTTGCCTTTGGCATTTTAGTTATTTATCTGTTGGCCCAGGAGGGACCAGGTAAAGAAGAAGAGGCAGAAAGACTGGAGACAGAGCAATGTGTTTAGCATGAAGAAGCTACTTCAGTTCACTGATTTATGTCCAAAGGTAATATAAATAAAAACATCTCAGAAAGTGCTAGAATAAAAAGAAGTGTAGAACACTAATTTTTAGAGCAAGAATCTATAATGTGTTATAGTAAATAGCATTTCATTTGTATTTTTAGTAATCTGAGATATATTAATTGCTCAGCTGTTTATATTAGCTGCAGCACATAAGTTCTTACCACTTATGGCTTTGCCTACATGGAATGCTTTCTGAATTTTGCTGTTTGCATATAGGGTGTCAGTTAATGAGACATCAATTTAAGTAAGCCATTCTGCTTCTTCTGTCGTCTAGACTTGCTCAAGTCTTGCTTTTAATTTGCAGTAATTGCCCAGATGTGGGTGCATATCCTAGAGTGTGCAAATAATGCTGCGATTTCCAAGCTAGAAGTAGTTCCTACTTCTGAGATGTAATTTGCATCTGGTCCTTAGATTTCTGAGGTGTTCATTCCTAACGAAGTAAATTCTGTCTATAAAAGAAATATAATTGGTTTCTAATGTGATGGTTAAAGGAAGTTTGGGTTTATATTTAAGCTATGGAAATTTTCATTCAAGTTAGGTTGAAACCTCAGGCTATTGACATTTTAGTAATGCAAACTTTTGTGTCACGAAATTGAGGATGTAGCTTTACGATCATCAGGAATAGTTTATGTTTTCATTAAGTACTATGAAATACAAAAGCTAATAGGGTTTTTGTTTTAAATCATAGTATGGTAAAGCTGAGTAGCTTATTAACAGAATTTAGTGGGTCAATGCAGAAATGAAAAGTAAGTGAACTTCAAAAACTATTAATAAAGAACAACTTGGTGTACTCTAAGCATTATAGTAGCCTTATGTTTGAGTAACTGTAGAATAATAAGAGTTTAAAACAAACATTTTTGAAGGATAGTACAGAACAGATTGTTGTCAGATTAAATAAGGACTCTCTGATGCCCTGAGGTGTTAGGGTTACAGGATTCTCGAAAGCTTTTTCTTTTCACTGCATTCTTATTTTAATACTTAATGTTGGAGAAAAATAAAAATAAACAACTATTCATTTTCTTTTTCTGCTTTGCCTCTCGAGTTCTATGCTATTTTGTATTAATTATGTTTGGATAGTTCAGTCTTGTATAAGCAAGAATTTGCCTTTGAAACTTCAAAGAGTTCTTGTTTCATCTTCCACGGAATGTTCAAGTGTTACAGGGTATGAGACACTTAAGTTCCTGCTCTAGAGTCCCTAAATTGCTCCTTGTTGTGGATGTATTAATTGTAGCCTCCCTCTCTAGTGTGAACAGCCTTTTCATTTTCCCTTGTTTCTTCAATAACGCCTGGACATGAGTTCAGTGCAGTTGTAGGGGAAACAGTGCCACCCGTTGGATTATCCGTTTGTTACATGGGCTGGTCCTGGAGGGTGAGGTGATCCCCTTTACAGTTACCATGGCTTAACTCAGAGTGTTTTCTCAAGGCCTGTACTTCCCTGCAGTATTATTATGTTGCTACCTTATCAAAATGCCTTTTTTTTTTTGTATTTGTTATAGATGCATAACTTTTGATTGCAGTCAAAGCTCTTCTGGAGCATCTTACTCTCAGAAAAAATATTTTAATTTTCCTTAAGTGGATTTTATCTGCAGTTTCTCTGACTCTTGCCTCAAAAAGGCATTTTACGCTTTTGTTGAAATCTGTGGCTGGATTTTTATTTTTTTTTAATGAAAGGTTTCATAAATTATTTAGGGTTATGCAGCAACTATTCCATGTATTTCCCCCCTCTTGGCTTCAATCAGATTGGTGTTTATTTTTAATTTGATACTAAGTGCTCAGCCAGTATAGCTGTTAGCATATGACTTCCCATTTCTCAATCTTAAGCAAACAGTAAGTTATTGTAAATTAAAAGATTCTTTCCTTCCAGACAGAGAAAAGTTATAATAGATGTGTAGTAATAAACAGAGCAAGGAAGCTTCTCACTATGGCCTAGTTAACAAAAAAAGGCAGTAATTCACATACATATATGCTATTTCCACCCTTAAGTTCTAGTTGCAGTAAATTTGGGGTATTAGTCTCTTTCTATCCATAACACTCCAAGCATAGCAAGGTCCCTAAAATAGCTGTTATCTCCCATGGCGATCTAGTGAAGATTAGAACAAACTCAATAAGTATTGCCCAGGGTCTGAATAACCAGGTTGCACTAAGGTTTATTTAGGTGGGAATGCAGCAAAAAAATTTGCATCTGAGACTCTATCATGCAGCGTAGAAGAGTGTTTTGGTTTTTAGTTTGCCTTATCTATCTATCTATTTCTTTATTTAGTATAACTCTAATCTGATTAGTTCAGACTCTGTTTTCATACACGTTTGGATTCAAGTTCAGCTGAATACCTCTGTTACTTAGCAAAAGAAAAATGAGTTTCTCTGCTCGCAGGATAAAAAAATGGAGTTTAAGATTCTATTGTCTTCTGATGCACTTTCTGTGATTCTTGGGGACGTTGTGAATTGTAATGTTAGGCATGTGTTTTAAGGCACTAGAAGAGAAAATAAACCTTGATTTAAAATCAGGTATGTGTATTACAGTAGGGAAATGTTGTAGTTTTGCATACATGTCTCACTTTTGGTGAACGGGATTCTGGAGCTGTTTGCAAAATACAGATATTTGCATTTTAGTGGCAGTTATATGAACTTTTGTAGAACATTTAAATTCCTTACGTGTTTTGGAATGTCTTACTCAGAATCTCTATACCATTATTTAAGCAGAACAGTGATGATTAATAAGGGATTGGATATAACTGAAATGCAGGGTTGGTGTACAGTTATGCTGGGTTTGTTCTAGAGGATTCCTTTGGCTAGGAGACAATGACTGAATGTTATAACTTAAGATTTGCTAAGTGAAAAGGAAAATAGAAGTCCTTATATACTTTGTAAAACTTGAAAGGGTGAGAAAAGTGTTTATAGAGTCCCAAATGGATTATAAGTTTAGTTTCTCAAAATTCATTTTCAGCATTAAGTGGTCATTTCAGCATTCTGCAACCCAAAACTCCTGCCATAGAATAAATCTCTTTTGTATTTTGTTGTTTTGAGGCTTGTTTTTGTGGTTTTTTTGTTTGGTTGGTTGGTTGGTTTTTTTGTGTTTTTTGTTTTTACTGTTATTTGTAGATTGTTTGCTTTGGGTTTTTTTCTTTTTTAGTCTGTTTTTGGGTTTGCTTTTTAAGAGATACATATATTTAATAGTGGTTTTGAGGGTACTGTTAGTATAGAAATGATTCCACAGAATGTAGGCTAAAACATCACCATTAGTATTTGAATTTAAATCATTTAAGAGTGAATGAATAGCTGTATTTAAAAACTGGTTTGGTTCAAATTAAAATTTTCTTAAATTTTAGCCACTTCTGAGCTAAGAAGTTGTATTTTAACTGGCAGTTTGATGATTTGCATGTCCCCTTAGTTATTATCTGAATGATTAAGTCTATGGGTTTATTTTAAGGGGCATTATTTCTAAGCAGCTTTTTGAGATGTTCCTACCAGAAGACTAAGGGACATTTTATTTTGTTTCTGTAGACCAGCACATCACCTGAGTTTCAAGAGACATGATTTTCCATTTTTCCCTTCCTCAGTGCAGCAGACAGGAATCTTTGCTGATTTTTTCCAGAAGAGTCAAAAAATATCTTATTTGTCTCACATTTTTAGATTCCAAATTGGCCTTTTTCAAGTGGTAGAAACCTAGAAATAATTTTCAAGTGGATGGCATTTTTCAAGAAGTAGAAACTTAGAGTGAGGGTATCAGAAATCTAAATCACAATGGGTACACAAGCTATCATCTTTGGGAGCCTTTAGAACAGACAGTGTTATTGGTTTTATGTTCAGAAAAAAGAAATTAGAGACAGACAGAGATGGAATTAATCCAGTTTCTTCTGCATTAGCCAGAAAAGCAAATTCTGTTTTGTTAATAAGGGCTAGATGCCAGACCTAACAAAATTATTTGGCTCAAAAACTTAACAGACCTAAAGAGGGGAAAGGCTTGAAACTCTGAGGTACCCAGGGTATGTATTCCTTGGATCGTGACATTCTGCATCAAGCTATTGTTTTAACTTGTTTGAAAGTTCACTATAGTCTCAATAGACAAGAGTGCAGAATAAATACATATTTTTACATAGCTTTACAGTTTTCCTGTGGGTTTCATAGCCACACATGTAAATGGAAATTCAGTCTGATCTGTAATCACTCTTTGTTTATGTACCAGGGAGTAGTCCTGAAGGATAGGTCTGATAAAGCTATACTGTGATTTGAATACTATGCATTAATATTGCATGCCATTTAAAATTTAAGAGTATAGTTTAGCAGAGGTTAGGATCTAGGACCTAATTCTGTACTGGATTTCCCTGAACTAGGATTTGTCTTGTATCTCTTTTTCAATGCAAGAAAGCATACTATGATAATATATAATGTTTGAAGTTCAAGTAGGAGTATTTTTCTAAAGAAAATGACAGCTGAAATAAAACACTACTACCTTATGATTTATTTTCCTTGTCTTTTTTTTTTTTTGTATGTAAAAGAAAAATATTTAACTCTGTTAAATAATTACTCTTTTCTTTTCTTTTTTAGGTTGTCTTAGTCTTCGCTCTTAGTATTGGTGCTCTTGTAATATACTTCATAGATTCATCAAAGTGAGTATTCTAGTACATTTTCCTTTCTCTCCTTTCCTGCAGCAATTATACATCTTTAAATTGCTCCATTCATCTTCTTCAAATCTGCTCATCGCCTGAGTGCAAAGAACTTTATAATAGCGCATGGTCTACAAAAATAACTCAAGAATGGGAAAAAGATCTTACATAAACTAGACTGAACACGGTCACATTGGATCTGTAGAATAAATAGAGAGAAAAACTACTTTTGTGTGTTGAGATTATACATACTATTGCAAAATTACAATTTTTATTTTCATTATGCAGGTGTAGAATCTTTCAAATTCAAGACTGGGATAGGATATACAGGCCAACAATATTTGTCAAAAAATTGCAGTTTACAGGAAAAAAAGGTGTCTCAGGAGACTGACAGGAACAGTTCTGAAAACCTTTGAAGGAATTAGACAGTACAGCATTATATGTTGCATATCTGTTCATATTTCCAGCTTCTGGGTTTGATAGATTTCTACCAATATAACATGAACCAGTAAAAGTCTTCAAAGCATCTCAATATTTTTTAGATTTACACCAGTGTTATCTTCTAGTGTTATAGTTTTGGCCAGACAATAGAAAGTTTCATCCTGATCTTTTGAGGTGATGGTTTGATACAAACTGGTGTAATTTGGAATATATTCTGATATTGTTTTCATATCAAACTGGACACTCAGTGTTGTAACAGGCAAATTGGTAGCCTAACACAGAAGAATAAAAGGGGACTTAGTAGAGTATTCTTCCTTGAATTCAAAATCTTTTTGGAGGATGATATTCAAAATATGAATAGCATTTTGAGGTTCTTTGACAACATGCTTAATGCTTTTCTCTGAACTAGTTTGAGGCTTGCCATTACTGCAGTGATTAAGGTTGTGATTGTATGCCTAAGTCACTCCATGTGAGCCCACCTAGCTGTTTGTAGTGGTACTGGATGTGTTCTAAAACAATCGTTCTGTGACTCAGAAAGTCAGACATTCCACTGTTGACATCTGTACATACTGATATTTAGGAAGGTGTTAGCACCAGCAAAAGATATTCTTGGATACGTGGATGTCAGCTCTGTATTTTGTGAGTTTGAAGCCGTCAGTGTGTCAAGCATAACCCAAATAACTGAGGTAGAGATGTTCTTTACAGAGATGAGCCAAGTGGTGGCAAAACTCAAGTTCTATCTTGAGCTTCCTTGAAGAGAGAAAATTTTTTTTTCTTCTTAGCATTGCAATGAGTTTTCATTAATTTTTGAAATTTAATATGTCACCGGTGAAGTACATAAGGTGGTACTTTTCTGAAGATCTTTTGTAAAACTTTTAAAAGCCCAATGGCAAAGCTTCTGGGTGCTTATATGTCCAGGTCAAAAGTGTAAAATAGAATAAAACCTGTTTCCACTTCTGTTCCAATTTTGAATCAACAAAAGCTACAGCTATGTGTCGGAGCAATTTTGTCAAACTATTGGATTATCTGATGAATTTTAGGCACTGCATTCTTGTAGTCTTTGATTGTTTTCCTCAAGAAGAGCAAAACTGACAACATGGGAGATGTCTCTAGGATGCTTTCTGTGGGCCACCTATTCCATATACTGCTACTGGCTTATTGGCTGCTTGATCAACAAGTGTTTTAACTGTGCATTTCTCTTGGTTTTCAGTCAACATTTAGCTCCTGCTGCAGTTCAAATTCAGCAACCTCAAGTTAATGTACTCTACTTGCATACTTTTTCTTTGGTTTCTCCTTCTTTCTTCTCTCTTACCCTCCTTTATTTCCACATGTACATCTTGGTCTTTTTTTTTTTTTTTAATGCTCATTAGTAGTTTAATTTATGTTAGAAACAACTCAGATATATCGCTGAAGGGAACAATTCTGCTTTATTCTGTATTAGCATCTGATCTAACACCCATTTCAGCAATGTAGAATCAAATATAGTGATATATGAGTCGATTTCATATCCACAAGTGCATGCTTGGAAAAATTACTCCTTTTGAAAATTTGGTTGAACAGGAACTAATGAAGGTAGGATGAGAGGAATGCTTGTGTTGTCCTCAACAAAACAGCTGGAACACCAGAGACTACAGCTTGCCCTGGAACAGAGCAGACAAATAGGATCTAATGCTCACACCAGACAGATGGTGACACATACCATTGTCTGCTTTCCCTTAACAATGCGTTCCATAGCTGTTGTGTTCTGCCCGGGCCATGGACTCTTAGCTGGTATTTGATCTTATATGTGCAGTGACAAAAACCGTGACTTCGATCCAAAGCTGAAGAGTACTAGTGTAAGGAGTTGTCTGAAAGAAATGCCAGTTATTTATTCATCCAAGACTCCTAATCTGTCACTAGATTTGCAGATGCAATGACAGGTGTGTCCACAAAGGAATCGTGCATGACTTCCTACTTAAGGGGCATGAAGAAAGATGGGAAAAACAACATCACTTTCTTAGATACTGAAGGAAGGAGTGAAAAGATCACATAGTTTTGTCAGGCAAGCATGTGTGTCATGATTAACTGCAGTGGAACACACCAGTATGAAGGCTGTCACAGCTGTGAGAAGAGGGTAAGCTAAGAGCATTTTTATACTACTCAGTCCATGACTCTGACAGACACTGCCAGACTAGTACCAGATGAAATGGCATGCCCAGTGCAATGCTATTTGGAGAGATCTGAGGTCAGAAAATAGCACAGCTTCATCAGCATCCTCCGTACCAGTTAGTCCTACATTTCAGCAGAGCCAATTAAATAGCTTTGTGTTGCTGTAGAATATGTGTGTACTAATTCTGTTTCTGGCACAAACTTAGGAATTCTGCACCATACTTCATTACAAAATATGAGCACAGTTGTGATCTGCTTTAGTCTGAACTGACTGAATTTCTTAGTAAGAAGCAGCGCTTAATTCACCTTTTGGGAAAGGTTCTAAACAAAATCACAAAAACAATCATTCTTGGTGGAAAGAATTAAGGTTACTAATTCTGAAAACTGTAGAGGTTCATCCAATCCTTTTGTTAGGATTATTCTTAATATTATTCAGTGCTCATACTTTTTACAAGGCACCACTTTGAATTGTTGTCTCCACAAGGTGTATGTAGAATATTTTTCTTTAAACTGAATATGTACACTTTCAGTGATGTGTTGTAGCAACTAATGGAAGATTTCAGTCCTTAAACTGAGAATTTATTTAGCAGAGAAATTACAATCTTGGCATTCCTGTCATGTAAGTTCAGTCACATCCTGTTAGGAAATGTTTCACTTATTACTATGGACTAGACTCTTTCCTTCCTTTATTTTTGGTATCTCATTCATAAAATACTGTTTTCTTGGTCAGTGGTATTTTTCAATATTAGGAATAGCAGATAAATATGAAACATTTGCAAAAGAGATTTTATAAATACTATTCACATAATTATTTTAATCTTTAGGTCACAAATAACCAAATAATTAAATTTTATTTTTAGAGATTTTTTTTCACTTTGATGTCTGTCTTCCATTTTTGGTTTGAATAAAAGCACAACATTCAAAGAAGAAGTCATAAGCAGATCTACTTCAGTACAGAATAACGTCATTATTGTAATGACGGTTCTTTTCCTATTCATGTTTCCTTTAAAATTTGTCATCATTTAATTTTTCAAGGTAAGAAAATAATGGAATTATCCTCTTAAGAGGAAAATCTGACTTTACACAGTTGTTGGGAGTCTACTGAATGTGCTGCAGTAGAATAAAGCTTGATGTCTGCCACTGCTTTTTAATTTTATCTGCTTTTTTATATGTAGTTTTCACAAACTTCCTCCTTCCTTTGTTTATTTTTCCTTTCTATATTTCTGCATGTAAAAGGTGTTTTAGCAAATACATATAGAAGTACTTCTCTGAGTATTATTTGCATCAGTACTAGAGATGCATTGGATGCATTGCCCATTTTCATTTCCATTTGTCATTCTGACCTCTGCATATTGTACTGGATTACTGACTTGAAAAGAATAGAGAATAACATTTGCCATGATCGTCTTTAGTTATGGTCAGTAAAAGCATTAGCAGAGAGCTTGAATTTCTGCTAAACTGGGAACTAAGGGCTCCTATTTTCCATTTCTTGTAATGGCAGTAGCATGGAAACTGTTTATGATGTGAGTATCCTTTTATGCTCTGGTTCTGGATTCTCTTCTAGGGTGCAATATAATGTAATATGCAACTATAGATAATAGACTTTTTTTTTTTTTTTTTGCCTAACAGATTACTTTCTAATGACCAGTTGTTACTGTCCTGTTTCTTGAAGTTTACCTTCCCTTCCCTGAAAACTGATGTCAATGTAGAAATCATAGAACCCATCAATGACAAAGTGAAAAAAATGAAGTCTTACAACTGGCTTTGTATGTTCTACTCACATGTGTCTTTCAGATTACCTTTTTAGAGTTGTTTTTTTCAGAGCCACTAGCATAGTTATTCCTAAATAGCTATTTTTTCCAATACTGTGTCACATTGTACTTGATTAGAATTGTACATAAAAATGCCATTTAGCCATGAATATTAACAAATAGACTTGATGATCTAAAAGGTCTCTTCCAACCTACGTTACTCTGCCTACTTGCTTAGTAGTAATATCAGCTGAAAACACATCAGAGATGCTATACTAGAAGTTGCCTAACAAAACAATACAACATGAAAAGTCTTGGTTCTTGTTTTGAAGGATTCACGTTGGTTTCCTGACATTGTGTGGCAATATATTAGGAAGGGTTCATTGGAAATAAATATGCTGTTTATAGGCACACAGGAGTTTCCCGTGTGACAGCACAAGGAGAAAAGTCTCTTGGAATGTTTTACTAGCAAAAATATTTTTTTACCTAAGCGACACTTTGTTTCAAGTCCTTATGAACTCTGTTATTTTGTGGGAATATTTGAGGATAAGTTGTGACTGTGTACCATGTTTGGCTTTCCTGCTTTTTTGCTGCTGCTGCCATGTTGTCTTCTGAAAGACATTTGATTTTGTGCAGAAAAATGTTCTATAGAAATACTCCAAG